AAATGGCTGTTGAATTGGAATGGGATGCTCGATTCAGCTCTCAGCAGAGACATTCAAGTCCTGTTTCCAGGCCATGCTCTGTCTCAGGCTTGACTTGTAGGAGCACATGCAAGTGACCAAGACTGTGGCTCCTGCATTTCATTGCTGTTAAGGGTCTTCCTGGATACTCATGAAATCACACAGGGCAGTCTGATTATTCTCTCCTCTCCCTACTTTTGGCTGATGGATGATGTTATAAACCTGTAGATACCCCGTGTGACATGTATTTATTTACTGGTCACTCCCAGTGGGCCAGGCCTTGCTTCCTTCTGGTTCTGTACTGGTAGCAGCAGTGTCTAGTAGGGAGGACCACAGTGTCAGGCCTGCTGAGTAGACTCAGTGTCCGCTTTGGTGGAGAAAGAACATGACCGAGAGCTCTGAGGGCTGAACAAGACAAGAGTGCCATTGTGCTTTGCTGAACCACAGTTATCCAGGCATAGAAGATGTCCAAGACAGGCTGCTCCCTCATATGCTCTGTTCCCCAATAGTTACAGCCACAGATGCCCAGAAGATCCACTCCTTGGAAGCTATCTAGCTATCATTAAGCATACTCCAAGCCAGCTGGGGGCGTGTAGCTCATGCCACAGCTAGCTACTCAAGATGTTGAGAACTGAGGAATGTGGTTCAAAGCCAGCCTGGGCAGGAAAGTCCATGAGACTCTTATCTCCAATAAACCACCAGAAAACTGGAAGTGGCACTGTGGCTGAAGTGGTAGAGCGCTCGCTTTGTGCTGAAGAGCTCAGGGTCATTGCCTCGGCCCAGGGTTCATGCTCTCAGACCGAGCAAAAAAAAAAAGCCAGGCTCCAGTGCCTCAATCCTGTATTCCTAGCTACTCAGGAGGCTGAGATCAGAGGATCACAGTTCCAAGCCAGCTGGAGCAGAATTGTCCATGACACTCTTCTCCAATTAACCCCCAGAAAACCAGAAGTGGCACTGTGGTTCAAGTGGTAGAGCGCTTGCCTTGAACTGAAGAGCTGAGGGACAGTGCCCAGGCCCAGAGTTCAAGCCCCACAAGTGACCAAAAAAAAAAATACTGCAGCAACTTCAGCACTTTGGACAGTATTTAATGGCTTCCATTCTAAGGACCATCCCACTTTCTCACCATATTTTCCCTTCTTTATTAGCATTATTGAAGTGTGATTTATATATCATAAAATTTAACCCATTTTATACAGTTAATGAGACTTCCTAGGTATACCTTCATGAAGATGCCACCACAGTGGCCTTTTCAGTGGAACATTTCCAGGACCTCGGAGTTTGCTTCATACCTGTTACAGGTAGGATGTAAACCCCATCCTCAAGCCTTGGTCACCAACTTGATGTGCGTTCCAGAAGGCCCATGGTCCTGGATGCTACT